GTTACTCTCATAACTCGTACCTGTACAAAGGAGAACTCGTGGTATGCCGTTTGTTGACAGAAACATTACCTTGACGTTTGCGGTCATCAACGAGTTCTGAGACTACATGCTCACTTCTCCATTCGCCAGGTCGGATACACACGTCCTGGGGAGTTGGGGAGAAAGACTTTAAAGATCACGCACACACTGCAGGTCTTGTTTTAGTATTGGCTGCTCGACTTCTGGCCCACATGCCTGTATGTACACCCAATACAAAAACGCAAGCCGCACTCTGTTCATAATATTGTTTTGAGATTTTAAAAAGTATTCTGTATTGGTTCTTCGAACAATTGTAACTCGGTCACAAATTCTCCTTTTTTTCTAGGGCCCGACGTAACAATCGTCTTGACAATGGGGAGAAGAGTAAAGATAGAATAAGTAAAACGTGTACATTGGCTTATTATCTCATTGGTGGACACATCCATCGGAACGCTCAAACTACTCTCATCTCGCCGAAGTTCGCCTTAAAATGTGACGGGGACCAGGTGTTCTCGTATAATTTGCAGTATTAGTTCTCCAATATTAAGTCAACCTTTTGTACTCAATACAATTCTACTTATTTCTGCCGCTGTTTACTGCACACGATTCCTTGTATTTGTCTATCCAACTTTAGGGGCTCTCGTGGTTTAGAAGATACGATGTTTGCCTCTCATTCAAAAGGTCCCGGGTTCGAAACCTGAAGCGATGGAAAATTTTCTTCTCTAAAATCTTTTCCTTTCACCTCCTTTCCTGCTCTCTAAAAATGTCCTACCGTCTGCTTTCGTCTCTACTTGTCCCCCCCCCCTCTTTTCCCCTTTGGCCCTCCTCTGGACTCCTGACCCTTCCAGCAGCCTTTCTACTGCCACTCCTTGGCTTCTTCTTACTGCTGTCTTTCAGTCACACCCCTGATCTTACGGTAATAGCACCTAGCCCTGTCGGGCCAGCGCGAAAAATCTCGGAGATCCCGTGTACAAGTTGCGCTCGTTAAAGATCCCTTGGTGGTCCTAAAATCGATAAGTGTAGGCTTCAGCCGCCACGCGTGCAGAATTCAAAATTCCTACCAAACTGGAAATAGTTAATTAATGTGTCCCGCGCTCTCATTTGACCTTATGCAGTTGCGATGGCAGAAAAACACTTACCCCCCCCCCCCCCCCCCACACACACACACAAAAAAAAAAAACCCACCAAAAAAACCCACCAACTTTTAGCGGTCACGCCCTGACTGAGCTTGTGATAAAAGTCGTGTGAGTCAACAATTTAGAGTGAGGGATTGGGATACTCACCAGTATTGACTAATATAATAAATCATAAATGTCGATCATGTCGTTGTGGAAAACTTATTAATTATGCAAACCACTTGCTACCCTTAAGGACGGTCGTCAGAAGTAAGCTCTAATCTCCTGCTCGGCTTCTCCGTTCCCACACGGGGTGGGAGGGGGGTGAGAAAACCAGGTTACACATTATAATAATGACATATTTGGCCTGGTGATACTGTGGTAAATTAACCATTACAATACAGAGTTTAATGGTCCAGAGGGAGGGACACGTGATCATTACTCATTGTCATAGTATCTGATTTGGCCAAGCGATACTGTGATAAATTAGGCTTTACAAAAGAGAGGCTTTATGGCCCAGACAGAAGGAAACGTGATCGCGGACTGTTTCTTGAACCAGCGTTTGTGTTATGTGGTCGAAGGCCCCGCGCTCCGGGGGTACGTGCGTTAAAATTTTATGACAAAGTTATAGTCGGTCTAGG